CACAAGCAGCAGACCGGCTGGACCACATCAACTGAGCACAGGACCAAGTGAGTGCTCAGCCAGGCTGCTGTGCCGAGTGTAGGGGGTGACACCTGATAGGAGCAGCAGGGTTAGATGTGTGGACTTCTGGGAAAGCGACTTAGGAAATGCAGGTGGACGGCAGCAACTTTAGTAGAAAAGGTGAGGAATGCCTTCCGATTGCTTTAGACATGGACCAGAGCTCCAGGAAGTAGAGGGGTGTGCAGATTTGTCCTGCAGTGTGCACGGAAGGGACAGAGCTCATACGTACGTCACTGCGACAGACCCAGAGAACATGGGGTGTCGATGTTCAGAATCCTTTACAGAGCAAGAACACATGACATCTTGTAATAGTTAGACAGCAACACCGCTAATCACAAGAAGCACCACTTACCACGGGACTGTGTCCGCTCTGGAGACATGAGACACCCCAGGGACGGTATTTAAACCCTCTCCACTTTCTTCCCTGACTTACAAATGAGGGAACAGTTCCTAATTACAGAATGATTGTAGTATTTGTCCAAAACAATTCACATAAACACACTGACAAAGAGGAAGTGATCAATGTTAGTCATTGCTAATTATTAGAATAATGGTGACCTCCACCTCATTAAAAAAGAAAATTTAAAAAAGGAACATTCAGTCTTTCAAAAACATGGCAGTTTCGAGAACATACAGCATTATATGGTTTATAGCAAATCTCACAGCTCAAGTGGGAGAGTTGATATGTGTCCCAGATCTTTCTGGTACCAGAAAGTGTGTTTTTGATAATGCTACATAATGGTTCCAAAGGGAAGGAAGGGACCATCTCCCCATCTGGCCTCTTTTACTCAGGAAGACTGCACGCTGGGAGAGCTGGTTCTGCTGCTAGATTAGACTGCAGCTCAGGGAGGGGAGACTCTCATCTGGCCAACAGCTGGAGTGGCAACGATCCTGACTGTTCACTCCGTCCCTCGTTAGGTGGTAACATATCCCACACCATGGAAGCATGGCAAGTTTGGTCCTTGAGGTGTAAAGAGTCATTAGAATAAGAAATCCTGTCAGAAGACCATGATGGCGCTTGGTGGGTAGTAGCCATCTTGCCATGTCACAACGTGAGCATAAAGCTTGTAGCAGATTTTTCTTAGAATGTACTTGGCATCTTGTGAGACAGGGAGAATCCTTAGGGTCCTGTGATTACAGATAGGAAAATGCCTTAAACAGATGAAATGCCTTACCTGAGATTCCACACCTACAAAATGAGAGCGGTAGGATTTGAACACAGCTCTTTTCAACTACACTGCCTTTTGCAACCTATAGTGTTTGTCTCCATCTGTGCTGCCCCTTCCATTTCACGCTCAGGTTCTGTGCTTTGATTGTCAACAACCTCCCCAGAGACTGTACTACGTCTGTCAGTGGTATGCTAGGTTCTCTTATACGGGTCTATGAGAGCACGCTGCTGTGTTTTTCGGAATTTGTGATCCACATGTCACATTCACTACTTGAAATGGCCAAAGGGATTCTTCTTTTCAGAAACTGGCTCTCATGTATTGAAGAACATTATATATTAAATAATATATATCATAATATATGATAACATATAATAAATATTCGGCTATTTAGTGAAAAACTTACTAAATAGCTGAAAATGACCTTGGACTTCTGATTTTCTTCTTCTACCTCCCGAGCACGGGGTTATAGCTGTGTAACCCCGTGCTTACTTGATGAAGATGAGTATTAAACTCAGCTTCATGCATGCTAAGCAAATACTCTTCTAACTGTGCTACAGCCCAGCTCCATGAAGGACTTATTTATAGCAGAGAAATCAACACATGCTACAAATCAGGGCTCCACGATTCCCCTCCACTAACACAGTGACTGTGACCCACTTTTACCAGCATGCTTACCATTCTCTGCTAAGGCACTGCAGATACCACAGATATCAGAGACCATTTTACAAAATGCCTGGCAGGCCCAGGGAGCATCTGAAGCTTTGCGTGCCCATGACACCACCTGCAAGCACTCTATCTTTCTGATCCACCGCTTCAGTAGGATGGAGAAGGTTCTGGGAGCTTAGAACCACGGTCACAGCACAGTGTAGGGAGACAGGCATACAATCCCCAAACAACACTCTTATTTAAGTCGCAGTTCACACCATTCAGAGTATACGACAGTGTGAACAGATATTTATGACTGGACTGAACACAAATGCGAGCATTTGTTCTCTTTCCATGTGGTGTCACAGTTTGACAGAGATTTGAACTTTAGGGAACACAATTTTACACATGCAGAAGAGGGAAAAGGAAGCTAAGAGCTTAAGAGGGTGACCCCGGCTTGTGTAAGTCACGATGGGTGTGTGTCTCCCTTCAAGGGCCCTCCTCATATCTGGCTTTGCTTCCTCCCTCAGCCTTTCCCATCACTTGAGGATGAATGCCGTGTGCCAGTCTGCCAGTTCCCTCGGGGATGTGAACACGACACAAATAGCAGCTAACGTTTCCCAGACGCTGGTGGGGTAACAGTATGCTATGTCTTAAATTGAGCTGCATGGTGAACTTGTCAACATCTGACTTTTTTCTATTTGCTAAATGCTAATTTCAATAGCTTAGTTCACATCCATTATCTATGTCTGGGCCATGTTCCCATGAAATGGAGGCTATCAGCAAACCCACTTCACAGACGGGGAGGACTGAAGCTATTACTGAAATCACAAGAGAGTTCTTCACACAAGTGCAAGGTGTATATTTATAAGTGACGCACTGTTTTGTGCTCACTGATGGCCCTGGGCAATGTATACAGATGAGGCATGTACAATAATAACAATAACTCAGCGACCAAGAGTAACTAACTAAAGTATTTCCATAATCCTTTTAAAAAGTTTCAAAATGTTAAATATAAACCACTAGTATTAGGAAATAAGAAATTTGATTTTGTACACACACACACACACACACACACACACACACACGCACACATCCATCATGGAAACATTATATACTACAAACAAAGGCTACAAAATGAATTATTTATAAAACACTTTCTCTTTTTATTTATGTTTTTGTTTATTTATTTTTATTTATTTATTTATTTTTGAGATCAGGTCTTGCTATGCAGCCAAGACTGACCTGGAATTCACCAAATAGCCCAGGCTGTCCTTGAATTTACTTTGGTTCTCTTGCTTCAGTCTCCTTAGTGCTGGATTAGAAGCATATACCACCACATGCAGCTTGTCTTAGAAGTCTTTTATGATTCTTGAGAAGTAAAACAGGGTGGTGGCACCTACCTATAATCAGAACACTCTGGAGGCCGAGGCTAGGAGATTTCAAGTGTAAACTTGGGTTATATGGGTGACATTATCACACACACACACACACACACACACACACACACACACACACACACAATCCCCTCAGGAGGGCACATGGAAGCGTATGGAGGCATTTGGAGGAAGAAAGGAGAAGGGGGAAGTAACATAAATGACATTATAATCTCAAAAATTAAAAAATATTAAAAACTTGTGAAAGTCTAAAATCCATTTTGTGAAGTTATTTAAAGATGTGTGACTATGCTTTCATTACAAAATGTGAGCTTCACAAAAACACAAACTTGATGCCATGTGATTTATTAGATCTATATGGTGAATCCTCCAAGCTCAAAGCTTAGCACCTGACTGTTGACCAATGCACATATGTAGCTCTGTATGCCTTCTAACCTATTGGTAAATTACCAGTGAGGCCCTGCTGAGGACAAGTGATTCTCTTCACTGCAAAAGCAGAGAGAGACGCAACATTATTTTACCCAAAAGTAAAAAGACTAGATTCCCTCCCAAATGGTCTGCTCCAAGTTCAAGAAAACCTTTAAAGGTCCCATCTTATTTTCTAGTGAGAAACCAGCAAGGAACAGAACCATCTTTGACTCAGTGACCACACAGCTAGAACCTTAGTACCCATCTCTGCCCTAGCTCTCTAATGATGTAAAGATAATACAACGATATGAAGAGAAATCAAATACACTTTGAGAAGTGGTCGAGGAAGACTAACCTAGAGGCACTGCACACAATCAAAGGCTTCTGAAAGGAGGGCTGGAACTCAGGTTGATGTCCAGTGCTTTCATTTACAATTAGCAGAATCTATGGAGAAGGACATTTGCCCAGGGCCACTCACTCAGTGGGAAGCACAGCGACTTCCTGACCCCCAACCCAGTGCGTCTACTGAACTATATTCTGACCAGGTACTCATTACATTCTTACTCATTTGCTTTGCCGTCACTGCTGCTGTTCAATAGGCAGATGCCTTGAGACACATCTCGCTAAGCCGCCACTCTAGGGAGGAGCCCGTCTTCAAGCAGATACTTTGTGTTCCATTGTCCCATAGCCCTAGTCTCCTGAGACATTGCGCCATGGATGAAGAGGGCTGCCACATGCCTTACCACTTTCAGAATATTACATGAATATTCTGCACATACATGTGCCCATGAAATACAGAATATCACATGGAAGAGTGACCCCATGATCTCAGGAGGGAGATGGGCACTGAGACATGGAGAGTTCAAGTCATAAAAGTCTGACATAGGACCTCCCCATCACCATTCTAAGAAGCACTTCTTTTGTAAAACAGAGAGACTGGATTAGGTTGCCCCTTATGTCCTCATGAGCAATAATTAATACCCTACTGCCCTACAGCCTCTAAAATACCATATACTTCACATGAACTTCAAGTTCTGCCCACAAAACTCAGCACATAAAATATTTCTATGCTTAAAAGTTAAACATAACTTTGTGAAGAAGAAAAGTGGACGAGTGTTAAACCTACAGCTTTTAGAACTGAAATAGCCAAATCTAACACCCGACTCTCGGATCTCTCCGAGTTTGCGTCGATCTCTCAGTGCTTTGTGGTTGTTAAACACAACATGAGCTCGCGTTTCAGGTGTTCAAGTTTACCCCACAAATCAACTAATCCAAACACAAAGCAATAAAGAAACAAAGCCAAGAGCAAGCGTTTGCATACCCCGTGGCGATCCTCGAAGTATGCCAAGCTGGCTTTCGTTAGCACAAAGAAACGGACTTTAAAGTTCGAGGGAGAGGTCCTTCTCTTCTGCTGGGATTTCTTGATCAGCTGCTCTTCCAGGAGGATGAAGTTGTTCATGGTCCAGTTCTGAAAAGTGATGCGCCTTGGGCATCACCCCTCAGTGCAACCGATGGAGGGAAACCGTTGGGAATGCAACAGGATGCAGTTGATCTGTAGAGTGTCGCTCAAGGGCAACTTGCCTCTACCCTTATCTTTCTATCAACACCAGCCAGCCTTACCACCGAGCTCCTCCTCTGATGTCAAAGGCCATGACCACATCCTTTCAAAATTCACCAAGCTAAGAAGCACATGCAAAAATATGCATATCCTTTGTGATATGGTTTGGAAACGAGGTTTGAAGAAACTTAGAATTATAAGAGGAATTCAATTTTCATTTTTATAGTTTCTGCTTGAGCCTCTGCAACATTTAAGACATGAAGGAAAGGGAAAAAGAACAGGGGTCCGGGGTCAGTGGAGCACAGCTCACGTACAAGTTTCCCATGGCTATCATGGATTGCCACGGGCTTAGTGGCTCTAAGTACCTTACAATCCTCTAAGCACCTTACAATTCTCTACTTTAAAAGGCTGAAATGTGTCTCGCTGATGGAAAATTCTGGTGATTGCTTCTTTCTGGCAGGTATCTGGGGGATACTGTCTCTGTGACTGTCCTACTTTCTGAGAGACACCCAGGTGGCCTTGGTCTTGACTCTTCTTTCTCCATCTTCAAAGTCAACAGCTGTGGGGTGGAGTTCTGCTTGCTCCATATTGCTGGAACCCCCTCCGCCTACTTCTGCCACCTTCAAGGATCCTGAGACCCACTATGGAGAGTCACCCATTATCCCATAGTGATTGTCTAGGACAGGCACCCTGTGGTAAGGTCAGAAGATGATGCCTGTAGCTCCACTTGGTATGGCAATTCCCCTTTGTCACCCAACTTCATACAGTCACTGGTTGTAGGGATTAGGGCATGGAAAGATTTGCACAGGGCTGTTATTCTACCTACAAGCTTGAATTCCAGCGCTACCACCTACCACCTGCACGACAGGTTGGAATTTCAGTTCTCTGAAAGGAAGCAGTGGGGGCCTCATACAAGGTGTCGGAGGACTCCTTTTTGACTCTTCTGTCAGCCTCATGGTGGTTTTAAGGGTATCATACTAGGCTTCTGTGTCTGCCACTGCACAGATGCTGCACATTGTGTCTGTGTTTTCTTTGTTTCTTTTCTGGTTAACTCTGAAGTGATATTGCCAGCCAACATGATTCAGCCAACATGTGCTTCCTCTGGAGAGCCTTGCAGACTTTCCCACATGGAATCTAGCCTATTTTTTTCCTTGTGTATAAGGACCTTACAAGGAGGCAGCTCATAGAGACAAACAACAAGCTATCTCTTCATGAGGGTCTTTGGGAAGTGAATCTCATCTGCTCTGTGAGCAATGCATGTTACTTATGAGTCTAGCCTAGAGTCCGGACAATGCTAAGATGTAGTACTTATTTAAGGTTCACTGTGATGAGGAAGTTAGTAACCAAGAAGTCCCAATGCAAGTAGGGGAAGCACAGATCAGAGGGGACAAAAGATAAGACAAAGTGCGGAAGCACAACTCTCTAGTTTATTTTTAGATGTAAATTGCTAATTACAGTCTCCTTTCACATAATGTATTGGATGCTGTTGAATAATGAAAGCAAAGGGAAGAGAGGGAGGGTAGGAAGGTGAATGGAAGGGAGGGCACAGGGAGGGATAAGAAGGAAGGGGAAGGGTAGGAAAGGGAAGGGATATATTCTGAGATCTTAAGACATGAAAACATAATGTGCAAAAGAGGTAGACTTTTCAACATACAGTTTGCGCAAAGATGACTTTTTTCCTTCTCTTTCCTTTTCCTGTGGTAATTGATTACCTGAAGATTATCTGGACATGTGGTCTGCCTGAGTAAAGCCTATGCTATTTTTAGCCTTTCCAGTAACTTGGTAAAGCCATGTAACTCATTTCTGAACAAAAGAACCTGGCAGAAATGAAAGCGTCCTTGCGGGATGTGGTGGTATACGTCTGTAATCTCAGCTCTTGGGAGGCTTTCTCGAGAAAAGAAGGGGGTTCTTTAATGGGCACCTTCCTATTGCCCCCTTTCTCTTTCTATTACTATGGTATTGACTTTGTGGTTGGCATTGGAAGAACTATATTATACTATATCATGTGGAGGCTATATGTTGAGAGTGACTGATCACATGATCGGTGGAGTCCGGAGTTATAATGACCATGGATTTAATAATTCACCCTAGCTGTGGAGAACCCATTCCACACTCCATCTTAGACAAAAGGCTGATAATCACTGGATTATCTTCTTTTTTAATGCCAAAAGAAATACACCATTAATATTTTCTAGGACCCTGTTACTGGCAGCACACCCAACTTGAACACTATGTTGTATCATGTACTAACTTCTCAGTTATACTGTAAACTACTTTGGAAAGTGTAGATTGATGCAGGATGATTCAGGTCCAATGATTTACAGGCTTTGCATAGCATGTTCACCCAGGAAAGCAGAATATGAGGAACTGTTGTTTTCCATTTGCCAAGTCTCTATGTAGTACAATAAAAAATAATTTTATTTTCTACGACACAGAATACTCCAAACCACTTCCTGAGATTAGTCTATGTCCACTCTACAGCATAATGTTAGTGCCCTGAGTATTTTCTCCATCATGTTAAGATAAACAGTCCCTTTATTTGTATTTTGGTTTTAAAAGGTTGGTGTATAGAAGACTAATTCCCTACTGGTGGCTGTAACCGGCACTGGGCTACATGGTGCTACCCTGTCTCAAAGAAAAGCAAACACAATTGCAAAGGAGGCTGGGGAGATGGTTTGGCCATTCAGAGCATTGCTTTACAACATAAGAATTGGTGTTCAGGTACTGGCGTCCACATAACAAGTCAGGCATGGTCTACTGCATGCCTGCAATCTCAGCACTTTAAGGGGTTCCTTACCGCAGGCTCCTAGGGCTTGTTGGCTGCCAACCTGATTGAAAACCATGCGCTCCAGCTTCAAGGAGAGACCTTGCTGCGAATGAAGAATGCAGAGTGATAGACGAGGACACCTGAAGCCTTCATCTGACCTACGCATGTGCATATACACCACACACACACACACACACACACACACACACACACACACAGAGAGAGAGAGAGAGAGAGAGAGAGAGAGAGAGAGAGAGAGACATGCACAGACACCCAGACATACACACAACCACAGACACACATACATACAGACACACACAGACAGACACACAACCACAGGGCAAACAAATAGATGACCAACGACAAAAAAACCCAGCAACACAAAAGAGCTCCTACTCGCTAAAGACACAGAAAACCTATAATCGTGACGTGTGAAGCAGAGTTATTAAAACTACAGGTTCAAAAGAAAACTGAAAAAGGCCACCCCAATGACTACTTTCAGAGGCTAGCAAATAAGCAACTTATTATTCTGGAAACTGAAAACAAAAACAAACTAGAACTTTCTGCCTTTCGTGAAGGACTGCATTTCAGTATAGTCATCGAATATTTAATAGGGTAAGGGAAGTGAAGAAGGAAAGACAGAGCATCCCTCTTTCACAACCTGAATAGAACAACGAATGCAGATGATGGCCCTAGGTGGCTATTAAACTCTCCATGTCAGAACTCACAGGGAAATGTACAACAGTAAGAAGCAGACAGCACCGTGACAGGCTGACCACTCTTCACATGACAGAGAGACAAGCAGACACTGTGTGGCTTCTGTGTAATGTGATAGGGAGCAACGAAACCACCCACACGGATGCCTTGTGTAGAGAGAAAAGAGTCACGTATGAGTCTGGTCAGAGCTCTAGATCTAAATCTGAGCTGCCAGGAAGCTCAAGAGATGAAGGAACTTGGCAAAGAACAGGGAGGGATGTAACTGGGCAAGTCCAGAATATACCAAATGCCAAGGACAAATGACCCAGGATCCCCAACAAATAAAGTGGGTAGGAACCTACAGACTAGAAGAAGACCTTAGGAGATGTTTCCAACGTGGGGGGAATTTGGATTCAGAGCCAAACAAATCGACTGTATAAAGGGGCTTATGAGCCATCTTGGGGCATTTAAACCCTGGGAGGAAACTGAGGACACTGCTGACTGAAAAGAGTGATCTCCACAGGTGTGTACTAAATGATTGATAAAAAGATCACATCTGAGATCTGCTTTATTATAATGCAATGGAGGCCAGGGAGGAGAAGTGGGTGAAAAAATGGTGTTCCTGGGTGGACAATGACTGTGGCTGGGTGATGGACACCGGGGCTGTTATTGTAGTCCTTACACTAGCATCTGTTTGAAGTTTCTATAAGGGACACTTCAAAAGACTCAGTCCAGTTCTGTCGATGATCAAAACTCTAAGCACAGAGCTGGAGAAATGGCTCAGCAGTTAAAGGCATGCACTGTTCTTGAAGAGGACCCAGTTTGGTTTCCAGGATCTAGGACAGACGCTCACAAATCCAACTTCAAGCCATCAGGCAACCTTGTCTGGACTCCATGGGCATCTGTACTTACATTTACATATCCACGCAAAGAAACACATGCATGCTTGCATGCATGCTCACACGTGCACACACACACAGACACACACACAGAGTGAAGGGGGCAGGCCTGCACACAGGCACTAGAATAAAAGGCAACAGAAAACTCTGAACACATAGCCCACATACTGCTCTTCTTCAGCATCAGCTGGGCTTGCTTTGGCAAACACACTGACTTTCCCACTGTCTGTGTTCTACCTCTTGAGGAGGCTCCCTCAGGCACCGCCGGGATTTCTGCTGCGCTTCTTCAGGCTCTGGCTGGCAGGAAGAAGAAAGGGAAGCACAGGCATGGAACTCAACATGATAACAGGGGCGATCCTGGGCTGGCACCCTCAGGATGTGATGTAGACACACCATGTTTCTTTTCTTTGTAGCAAACTCTAGTCCCACGTCTTGTTGTTTTCAAGATTTTTCTGCTGAGGGCTCTTTGGAAGTTCGCTGGTCCCACTCCCTGCTGTTCTCTGACTTTTACATCTCTGCCTGCGACTCCAACACTCCTGCCTTGTCACTGCAGATAGACACATGTCCCAAGGAACCCCCTTCTCTCTGATGACAAACATCCCTACCACAAGCTTTTGCTATTGTCTTACTGGGTTTTAGATATGACTTTTACATTTCCAAGGCTCAATGAGTCTACTTTTAAA